TTACTTTACTGTAATCATTAAAATATTTTTTTTTCAGAAATAAAGGAAGAAATTGAAATCATAGTTTGATTTGCTAATTTGTCAAGACATTTTGATTTATGAGAGTTTTGATCACATGGAATACTTAAAGCGTTGATATTATTAAAATATATGATGTTTGTTTTACATTCCATGCATTGTACTTATTTTAAAATACATCATTTGAGGTTGAAATCAATTTAATTTTTTATTTGCTACAATGCATGATTTATAAATACATTTTAAGAAACAAGACCATGAGAATTAGTTCATAAGTGATGGAAAAATAGGAGAAGATAAATGTAAGTAATTAAGTGTTAAAGAATGGAGAATAAAAGTTCATTTCTTTAAAAAAGTAAGAAAGATTGATAAAAAAAATTAAAAGCATCATATGTCAAAGCGTTATCGAAAGACTGAGTAAAAAATGTAAAAGCAACAACAAAGCTTAATAGATTAGATATCAGCAAAGTATTATGAAATGTTTATGATTGAGGAAAATGTCTCTGTAACATTCCTAGTATTGAAAGTTAAATAGCATTTGAGAGAGAGAGAGAGAGAGAGAGAGAGAGAGAGAGAGAGAGAAGACTCACCAGTTAGGACACAAAATCTCCAAAATATATTCTGATTGTCTGATACATCCATCTTTCTATGAAGGAAAAAAAAAATAAAGTTCTTAAAATAATATATGCTTTTTATTTATTATTGCACTCATATATTTAAGTTAAAACATGAAGCACTCTAGAAAAAATTAATAAAAATAATCTTTGAAGCCTTTAAGCAAGCAAACAGACAAGTTTAATTTATTTTAGCACAGATTAAGTTATTTGATTTAAATACAAACAGAGACTATGAATTATGAGCTAGATATATTGGTAGATATATGAATTTATTTACCTTCACTCCGGCCCGGTGAGAGGTGAATGCATAATCCTCTCTGACAGGGAGTTTTCTATTTATATATTTTTCACGCTTCGTTGCCTTTTAATATTTTCTTTCTTTTTTTCCGTACTCTAACTAGCACAGGTAAAGTCTAGAGCAAAAATAATCCACACAGTGTATTTTTTATTTATTTATCTATTACCATTATTTTTAAATTAATTTGATTTATATAATGATAACGAAAACAGTAATCGGATTTCTTTAGAATGCAACATGTTTACAACATGTACCTTAATCAAACGGCTAAAGTGATCTATTTTGATCTCAACTTATCAAATATCGATCGTTGTAAACTTCAAATTTTCAACTTTTTTTCCAGAACCAACTTCAACAGGTGAAGAACATTAAATTTTCTTCTTCTTCTTTTTTTTTTAATAAGTCACTTCCTCCTTCAAAGGGAGAAAGTTATGAAATTTTATGGCATCTTTCAAAAATTTTCTTTGTGACCGCTTGTCTACAAAAGATGACACATGCTTGAAAATTTCATGTTATAATGTTGATTTATATTTCTTCATGTCATGGCCCATGAAAGTAGGTCTGGGTCACAGTTGGCAATAATTTTTTGTAAAGGAAACAAATACTTTATGATCTACTCAGGAGCAGTAAATCAATAATAGGTAATATTTATTATGTATTTTTGAAAACAATACAGAATACGAACAGAGCAAACACGAAACTCCAGAGGTGGAGTCACGTGCCATGGAGGAGTAAAGCATTCACTGTCGACCGGTCATACCCGCCGTGTGTTCCTTGTCAATAAATAACGGGAATAATGGAAAAATCCGTCGTCAATTTAGTGCATAAATAATGGACTTACAATTAGTATGACACAAGTTAGCAGTTGACTCATTGATGGACTGCATTTGCTGTTCAGTGTATGGGTCATGAAACTTATGAAATGAAATAAACGAGACAGCTGACATTCTTGATTCATCAACTTGTTTGTCAAAAATTTACCTCGTTTTAGAAATTGTTCATACGTAGAGTATGCTCTTGCGTATTGAATCAACTGAGATACATAAACTCCACATGCAGGTGATGAAGGTATACTGCTGCATAAGTAAGGAAAGTTGACGACAGAAAAGTTAAAGTCATCACGTTTATCATAGAGCTTGGTTGTTAGATTACCTATCATTAACGTCTTTTCAAGTAAAATATCCAAATAGGAAACAGATGTGTCGGACTCTGTGGTATCTTTTATCTCAAACCCACTGGGATATATCGTATCAACATAGGTATGGAAACTACAATTGTTAATTAGCAATCGATATATCTGAAGGTCGAGTTGAGGGTTACAGCAAGTGTTTTCTTCTTTTCAGGCATGAAATTTTGCATAAATTCTGCTTCATACGAATACAAAAACATATCTGCTAATAACAGAGCACAATTGGTACACATTGGACTTTCAATAGATTGTTGGAAAACCTGGGCTCCAAAAACAACATAGATATTGTCAATCTGAAACTCGAGCATCTTTTCGACTTCAGAGTACTTGTTTGTACAATCAGAATGTTTTCAACATAATTACATGTATTTTGCAAATGACCAATGACAACGTTTCCTTGTAATAAGGATATGGAAATAACGAACAGTATTCAATCTCAACGTCCATTAAACAAATATACAAAACAAGAGCAGAGCAAACACGGACCTCCGAAACATCAGAGGTGGGATCAGGTGCCATGGAGGAGTGAGCATCCCCTGCTGACCGGTCACACCCGCCGTGTGCTCATTGTCATAATCAGGAAATAACGGAAAAAATCCGTAGTCAATTCAGTGTATAGATAATGGACTAAAAATTGGTATGAAAAACGTCAGTCAGCATTTCATTCAATGATAAATTGTATTTGCTGACAAGGTCATTGTATCGACCATAGAATTTACGAAATGATGACTTTAAACGAGACTGTTGATATTCTTGTTTCATCAACTTGCTTGTCAATAATTTACCTCGTTTAAGAAATTGTTCATACGTAGAGCATGCTCTTGCGTATCGAATCAACTGAGATATAAATACTCCGTATGCAGGTGATGAAGGTATATTGCTGCATAAGTAAGGGAAGTTGACGATAGAAAAGTTAAAGTCATCACGTTTATCATATAGCTTGGTTGTTAGATTACCATTTGTGTCTTTTTCAAGTAAAATATCCAAGTATGAAGCAGATGTTTTGGACTCTGTGGTATCTTTTATCTCAAGCTCACCAGGATATATCGTGTCGACGTAGGAATGGAAATTATCATTATTAATTGACAATACGTCGTCGATATATCTAAATGTCGAGTTGAAGGCCACAGCAAGTGTTTTTTCTTTTCACGCAAAAGATTTTGCATAAATTCTGCTTCATATGAATATAAAAATAAGTCTGCTAATAACGGAGCGCAATTTGTACTCATGGGAATTCCAATAGATTGTTGGAGTACCTGGTCTCCAAAAACCACATAGATATTGTCATTCAGAAACTCAAGCATCTTCTTGATGTCAACTTCAGAGTACCTATGTGTACAATCAGAATTTGTTTTAACAAAATAATTTTTCAAATGACCAATGACGAGGTAAGTAAACTTACGAGTTCCATTTTTGTTGAAGAAGCAGCTGTCAATGATATCAAAAAGCCTGGATTTTAATTTGTCGTGCGGAATTGTTGTGTATAAAGTTGAAAAGTCGTAAGTTTTTATGCTGTTGATTTTTGTAAAGTCTTGTGATTTCAAATTGTCCAAAAGTTCTTTAGAATTTTTAAGTATCCACATCTGATTTACACCACTTCTTGAATATATAGTTGTACAGTACTCTTGAAGTTTTTCCTTCACTACTGTCAATATATTAGTGAAAAGTAACGAAAGAGGCTTGGTTGAACATTTACTGGAACCTACAATGTATCTTTGTTTGTAGGGATTCTTATGAAGTTTCGGAATCCAATATATATAAGGTAGTTCAAATTCATTTTGGCTCTGTGGAATATTAAAAGTATTCAAAACTGACAGGTGATTTTGAAGAATTTCTTCCTTAGAAAGAGTAGTATATGTATAAGTAGGATTACCACTCGTAGAATTAAATCCAAGTTCTTCTAAAATGCAATTAATATAATGAGCCTTACAAACGAAGACAATGTTGTTACCTGCTTTGTCGGCAGGAACCAGTACGTACTGATCGTGTAATCTATCTAATTCTTTTTTCACTTCTGGTTTATTGAACACAGAAGGATAGAGGGTTTTCATTTTGCCCCTCAATCTTTTAATACGTGACTTTAACATGGATCTGATACATTTAATCCATTCTGACAAGGTGTCAATGTCTTCTTTTTCATATCTAGCCCATCGTCTGGCGTAATTTTCAACAGAATCCATAATATTTATGAAATTCTGACGCCAGTTGAAGGATCGGGGTTCCCTATATTTAGGACCTTTTAAAATAAGTGTTCTAAGGTCCTCATTACGAACTACATTTACGTCACCTGTAATAACGTGTCCAGCAGGACTATAGTTATAGGGCGAAGAAGAACATGAACACGAAAGGGGATTATTTTTCAGATAGTCGATATCCAGGCCATGTAAAGTATTTTTGTAATTGAAAAGTTTGGAAGCAATGGTCGATGTATATTTGTAGGAAATACAAGGCGTAGTCTTTAACTTGAAATATGGTGGAATATAAGACTGGACCCTTTTGTGATTAAGAATATTACTAATATTTACCGCGTCAATTCCTTTATTGGCATATTGAAGTTTAAGGAAAAGACGGATTGTTTTAGCTGCATTTTCTTCCGTGAAACGTGCGGGTTTAAAAAGCCTATGATGTGCAATATCCATAATCACAGAACCGAGCCTATATTCAGGTGTCGAGGAATCTAAATTTGGATGTTCCTTGGTCTTTTCAAGAAGACTATTTAAAAGTTTCAAAGGGACAGAGTAAAGTTTGGTTCGAATATGATTTAGACCTAACTGTTGATTTACATAAGGTAGTAATGAATCTAAAGAGACGTCGTGTATTGCAGGTTTATTGTAAGTATTCTCTTTTTAATTTCAGAATCCAATATATAAATGGTAGTTCAAAATCATTTTAGATCTTTGAGATATTAAATATATCGAAAAGTGACATATCATTTCGAAGGAATCTATGAGTATAATTTGAATAAACATAAAATTAAATCCAACTTCTTGTAAAATACAATGTAAATTATTACTAGAGGTATTGTGTGTAATGCGCACACTAAATGATACCCCCGCCTCCCATATGGTTAATGGAAAAGTCCATGTTTTGCTATGGCCGGGAAAACCAAAATATGTGTCGGACCAAAAAGTAAATAGGGAGGTGCACAATGACTATGTGTAATAAAGATTCTGTGAAAGTTTCATCTAATTTCACTCAGTGGTATAAGAGGAGTTGCGGATAAGAGACGGGTAACCCAGAGCGTAACAGACGGACGCACAGACGGACATACCGATTACTATACTCTCCCACTTTTCAAGCGGGGGATATAAATATAATAAGCCTTATACAAACAAAGGCAATATATTTCATTGTAATACTGACAAGGTCATTGTATCGACCATAGAACTTACGAAATGATGACTTAAAACGAGACTGCACATATTCTTGTTTCAATTATTTTGATAGTTTTCTTCCATGCACGCATCATATGAATTTGTTCATACAATTTATCAATATGTTTTGAATTAAAACTCAAATAAAAGATGCGGAGTTATGTTTACTTAAATACACACATACATTTATATACAAATATATTAATATCATAAATATTATAAGAAAACAACAATACATCTCTTTACACATAATTGTTGTAAAGTATTTTATGGACAGTAAATACATATATATTCTTGAATTTGTCGTAAATAGACGAAGAAGGTTTCCTGTTCATTTCAAATAATTATAATTATCAAAGAAACTACAACTTTGACATCAAATTGTTGAAACATCAGTCACACATTTATTTCGTCACTGCAAGATTTCCTTAAATCTGTGATTTGAGTTGTTCTATAGCTGCTCTATACTTCCCCATACTCAGTCTTTCTACAGCCTAAAAGTAGAAAAAATAAATGAAAACTTTTCTTAGACCATTGACGAACACTGAAATTGATAAATATAATATTTTTCCGATATATTATTTTCTCAGGTAAATGTTCTAAAAACTGTACGTTATTTAAAACATCAGTTTATACACTGTTGCACTAATTTGTTAAAATGCATTGTATAATGTACTTAATTAATATACATCCTTTCATAGGATTTATTGCATTGGGGATAAACAGTTTGAAGTCAAAAAAATGTCTTCACCTGAGTTAGGTCTAACCAGTATATTTCAAATACATCTTTTTCAAGGACCTTGGTTTCAGACACTGCATGTTTCATCTTATTTCTGTAGTCCCGGATGCGTTCAATGTCATTTATGTCATTTATATCTTCAGTCCTTGGTGTCTTTCCCCACCAAGGCGAGTCATCCCCTTGATAGTTTCTCAGCAGCTTGTACATTATCGTAACGTCGAATGACGAAGAGGTTGCAAGGCTGCCGTCACCTTTAATTCAAAGTCTTCTTTTAAAATATTTTTCACACGAAGACACTTTTCACTCATTGAAATTCATTACAGTTTTTGCAATATTACTGAAGTATGAAATCAAATGTGAGTGATATTTTACTAAATGCAAGAACAAACTACACTTTTCATATATGCAGTTTTGGAATTTGATTTTTGTGCCTTATGGTTAAGGTTTCATTTGCAATATTTTCTATTTACCTAATATCCCTACTTTGTGGTTGATTTCATAAATTTTATCAAAACTGTTTACATATTTCATTGAAGCAACATTTTCATTTGTTTTCAGTTCAGTAAGACCTTAGATAGCAAACCTGGAAAAAGAATCCTCAGCTGATCCTCCCCAAATCTGTAAGGACCCTTCTTCATATCGTCCTTGTGTGTTGTCAACACTTGTTTTAGATCTTGTGGAGGTAATTTGTTGTCGAAGTAATTTTGCAACACATCTCGGGAAATTTCTGTCAGTTTTTCAAAGTTCTCCCAGTATCGCCTTTTTGAATCCTGGGCAGATACTTCAATGTGAAAGATTATGAATTTTGTGACATTGTTTAATCTATGTAATTAAATTGGAATAATGAAAATGCTAATTGAAGTAAGAATCTCCTCAGACATAAAACTAATATGAAAAAATACTCTCAATCAATTTTATTCTTATCAGAAAGATGTGAAATTCATTTTTTGAAGCGAAGACTTACCTATACTTTCGACAACGCGATTCTCATCCATATCTTTTTCTTTTGCCTGAAATAAATGATGAACTTTAGAGTTTGGCGAAATTGATATTGATATGAATTCATACTGACCCAAAGAAATGGGTCAAGATAGCAAGTCTACGGGTATTGAAGGCATATAAGAAATACATATACTATACGAATATGCTTTACGCTGGTATGTTAAGGAAGCACCAAGATCAGAAATTTGAAAATTTACATTTCTCAAAGCCCGTAATTCTTATTCATAAAAAATATGATCTACTGAAAAGACACCAGAGCGTAAGGACTCGCTTCAGCATGCCGAAATATTATGACGTCTTTATATAAAAATATGCCCAAATAAAAACGTGAAAAAAAACTGACACTACATAACACTATAAGTTATTATATCGAAAATTGGCAAAGATCAAAAGATCTGCATGAAACCTCAACATATCCTTAATCAAACTTAATTATTATATGTACCTTTTTCCAAAATCCTAATGTCCATGGAACATCTATGTCATGTCTCTTCCCTATCGGACAGTTGCATTGAATCACGGAGTCCTTTATTTCATGTACGTTATTTTCTGGAATGAATGTCGTATCACCTTTACTGCAGAAAATATTAAGGCATTTATAGCCCTTTAGAAAAGTTTTCTTCTCATCAAATGTTTTCGTCAATTCTGTAAAGGCAATTTCAATGGCTCTTCCAATTTCACAGGAAACTTCTGGATGCAGATTATTGCTTCGCAAGACTTGCACTTGGATGTCATTGTCAGAAATGCCAACAACAACAGTATGATTTTGGGTTTCAAATATTGCAGCTGTGTGATACAAACATTGGCTTCCCTTTTTATCTGATGGTACATCCCACTTAAGAAAACTCATGCAATATGCAATAAGCCTGTAATACACAAACATCGCAAAAGACGTGAATCGAAAACACAAAACAGATGATTTTTCTAGTTTCTTTTCAAAGACGTCGTGTGTGAAACACTTTTTATTCATACAGGGCACATACCAAGAGATATCGTCTTCTGTTCTGTCAATTCTGACTAACATTCGTAGTCTTTCCATATATGACATAAGTTCTGTCTTATATTGGACATATGTTGGTTCTTCTTTCCATAGAGCATCGACAAGTGAATTAGGCAGGTTTCCTGTGACATTGAAATTGTTCCATTCTTTGATGTATCTTCGTTTGCAGTCCCTGTTGATGTGTTCCTTGTCGGCAATAAGTTTACTGAACGCATTAGAAAACCATTGTATCCCTAGAATTGCATGTGATCTCAGTTCATCTTCCTTAAAAAAGAGTAACAATCCATGCCCATGAAAAAAAGATAGGAAATCGAAAATTTCTTCCTGATTCTTCAATTGATATTCTTCTGGAAGTTTCTTATTCTCTTTGTTAATGTCACCGATTGACAAGATTGGCTTTTCTGTGTTTTTCAAGAGATGTTCAAGAAGAGCCCATGCCGAGGGAACTTCTATCTTTGTGTCCATAAGTTTCGATACAACCTCAACGATTGCATTTTTAAGACTCTGCAGTGACAAATTTCCTTGTTCATTCATCTTTTTGAGTCCTAATGTAAATTCCTTATCACCAATGCATTTTTGGAGCCAAGTTTTGTCGTTCTCTGAGACTAACGCCCAAAGACTCTCCCAAAAACAATCCTGTTTCTACAATAAAATTTACATGGAGTTAAGATAATAATATTGATAAACATCATATCTTTGTTAGTTACATCTTTTAACTTCTGCATGTTATATTTAGATAACTATATTCTAGAACGATTCGAGGAAAATCTTAATTGCATTTTTTAAAATCAATAATATGTTCAATGCATTATGGAACAATTCTTTTTGATATATCAAAGACCAGATTATGTACTAGACAAGAATGGAAAGCAGTTAAATCAATAGAACACCTAGTTCCGGGAAATGTCACTACGTATATTTACGTCCTAAGTTTAACGCAGCGTGCCGTATTCACTCAAGAAGCAAATGGTCTACCACTAGGATACCGTGTATATCGACAGAGGTAGAAAGTTATCTTGACTTAAGAATATAGTAGCTTACTTTGACCTGTATTTTTTTTCAAAATTGCCTAATTTTGCCCCTTAAGTTTTCATATTACCGGGTATTTTAATAAATGAGGTTTACATTTCTCTGAATGTGTAAACAAGTTACTTCCGAAACTTATAAAGGACTTTATTCGGTAATAACCAATATTTGCCCCACCCCCCCAAATCAAACTTTGATGGAGATATATTTAATTATGTTCTTAAACAGGGGATTATATGCTGACTTCGAAGCACTGAATATTTTTATAAGTAATGACGTCATATGTTCGTAATTACGTCACAAACATTAGGTTAATTTAAGTTTTTATGAATTTTACTGAAAAATGTATATATTTCGTCAATGTTTTGAGTAAAAATCACCGAGTGCATGTGTGGTCAGGATCAATATTTTGATATAATGTGTAGAATGATAATATCAATGAAATATGTTTGACACTATAATATTTTCTGTTAATTTATATTTCTCATACAAGTTATTGAATTCAGCACATTTCAGGAAGTTTTCAAAATTTGACTTTTGTGGGGGCAAATATATGCAATATACCGCAAATAGTTCTTTATCATATATGACTTAAGTTATGCAAGAGATTAGCAGTTTGGTCACCTTGCAGCACTTAAGTCTAATGGCACCCTTAGGAAAAATTGGAGTTTCGCTAAGTCAATGAAGAATGAAGAGTGGAATTGATAAAAAAAGATAAAAATTGTTTTAGAATTAATAAATTTAAGTTTTAAAATTCTAAGGCAATAGAGTGTTTATCGTATTAACATATCATTCGGACAAAAGTTATTCAAACTTGCATTTCTTTGTCCAACAAAACAAAATTAAACACAGTATTAAAGATACAGGTCTTGTTATTTCAAATATAATATAATTAAGATAATTTAGTGCAAACAGCCACATACCATTTGAATGTAGTACAATACCTTTTCTTTTTTGCCTTCTGCATGCGTAGCCACAGCAAAAACCTGAGCAGAAGTTCCGCCAAAGGATTTTATGGAGTCGAGCCAGAAATGTAAATAATCTAGCAATGAAATAAAATCATTTATATTGTCAACTGTATGTTAACAGATGGTGTTAAATTGTTTCATCATCAGACAAGCTAATTTAATACAAGAGGCCCATGGGCCACATCGCTCACCTGAGAAGCTTTGGCCATTCTGTACTTTACTAGATTTACCCCTTGTAATACATATTGTGACACCACCCTACCCCACTGATCATAATTTAGACAATTTGAAATCTACACTACCCCAGGATGCTTCCATATACGTTTCTGCTTTTCTGGCCCAGTTGCTATTCAAAAGAAGATTTTCAAAGATTTTTCCTATATTTATCTATGTAAAACTTTAATTCCCCATTGTGTCCCCGCCCAATCCCCAGGGGTCATGATTTGAACAATTGAGAATCTACACTACCCCAGGATGCTTCCATATAAGTTTCAGCTTTTCTGGCACAGTGGTTCTTGAGAAGAAGATTTTCAAAGATGTTTCCTATATATTTCTATGTAAAACTTTGATTCCCCATTGCGGCCCCGCCCAACCCCCGGGGGTCATGATTTGAACAATTAAGAATCTACACTATGCCAGGATGCTTCAATATATTTTCAGCTTTTCTGGCACAGTGGGTCTCGAGAAGAAGATTTTCAAAGATTTTTCCTATATGTAAAACTTTGATTCCCCATTGTGGCCCCGCCCAATCCCCGGGGGTCATGATTTGAACAATTTAGAATCTACACTATCCCAGGATGCTTCCACATAAGTTTCAGCTTTTTCTGGCACAATGGTTCTTGAGAAGAAGATTTTCAAAGATTTTTCCTATATATTTCTATGTAAAACTTTGATTCCCCATTATGGCCCCGCCTACTCCCCGGGAGTCATGATTTGAACAATTTAGAATCTACACTACCCCAGGATGCTTCCATATAAGTTTCAGCTTTTCAGGCACAGTGGTTCTTGAGAAGAAGATTTTCAAAGATGTTTCCTATATATTTCTATGTAAAACTTTGATTCCCCATTGTGGCCCCGCCCAATCCCCGGGTGTCATGATTTGAACAATTTAGAATCTACACTACCCCAGGATGCTTCAATTTAGGTTTCAGCTTTACAGGCACAGTGGTTCTTGAGAAGAAGATTTTCAAAGATGTTTCCTATATATTTCTTTGTAAAACTTTGATTCCCCATTGTGGCCCCGCCAAATCCCCGGGGGTCATGATTTGAACAATTTAGAATCTACACTATCCCAGGATGCTTCCACATAAGTTTCAGCTTTTCTGGTCCAGTGGTTCTTGAGGAGAAGATTTTCAAAAATTTTTCCTATATATTTCTATGTAAAACTTTGATTCCCCATTGTGGCCCCGCCCAATCCCCGGGGGTCATGATTTGTACAATTTAGAATTCACACTACCCCAGGATGCTTCAACATAAGTTTCAGCTTTTCTGGCCCAGTGATTCTTGAGAAGAAGATTTTTTAATGACCCCACCCTATTTTTGTCTTTTCTTGATTATCTCCCCTTGCGAGAGGATATGTCCCTTCAATTTAAATACCCCTTCACCCAAGGATGCTTTGTACCAAGTTTCGTCAAAATTGGCCCAGTGGTTCTTGAGAAGAAGTCGAAAATGTGAAAAGTTTACGGACGGACAGACGGACGGACGGACGGACGGACGACGGACACAATGTGATCAGAAAAGCTCACTGAGCTAAAAACGATTCAAAAGCAGAGCAAATACGGACCTCTAAACATCAGAGGTGGGGTCAGGTGTCATTGAGTAGTGAGCACACTTGCCGTATTTCATTAGTATCACAACTACTTTTCATGTGTGAGAATTAACAGAAAAAAATGTCGACACTTCAGTGTCCTTTTATTCCTGACAACTTTTATGAAAACTGTATGACAAAAATTTGCTTAATCATGGTGCCCAAACGGAAAAGATTTTTAACAAACTACTATTAAACCATCAACAAACTACCAACAAATTATATTTTTGTGGTTTGTTAGAGTAGATTGATAGTATAGCATTTAATGAAACACAAACAAACCACTGTTTCTTAAATTAGCTGCAGTGGTTTGTTAGTCTTTCATTTCTGCTGATTGTGATTTCTTTATAGTTTGTTAGACTTGGTATCTTGCAACAGTGTTTTATTAGTAAAGCATTTGCATCTAACCACATGGGAAATTACTTTACAGACATGTTTAGGGTTGAATTATCTAAAATTGTTGAAGTTTCCAAGAACAGCTTAATCATTACATCCGGTGTTAGCTATTTGCGCCAATTTTCAAACCACCATGCAAGCAGGTCAGAAACAAAGGAAATGGTGAAGGCCCACTGAAGGGACATTCAAATTGTTAGTATCATTCTATAAGATTCCTGACTGGAAAAGGCAGCAATTAACATTATTAAAAGATGGATCTGGATACAGAAGAGGTATTTAATGCATGTCATGAAGTTCCTTTATTAATTACCTAAAATAAGGCTGGACTACAGTAATTATAGAACCTTCTGTGGATGTGGATGTGTATGGTTTTTACTGGCTTTGGGTTTTTATTCATTTTCAGATTGACCTATAATTCCTATATTAGTTTAGATCAGTTATGCATTGGATTATTGGAAGTATACTTGAAAATAAGACAAAAAAGATGTCCTTCAAAGTTGCAATAAGGCTAGAAAAAGGAAATGTTGCAATATTTTCCATGCCAGATGAAGCAGGGAATATTTATATGTCAGCTTGAAGAACATTTGTTGGTGAAAAACACTATGAAGATGTACACAACATGAAGGAACTATGTAATAAGTACATGGACATTGACTTGAAATTGCATATCTCCTAAGCATAAGTGAACATGTTGGAATGTTGCACTTGCATTGGCTAAACTTGTGAATCCTGGAATTTAAAATACTTGGAAACAGGACTTGTTGAATATTTCAAATAGGATTGTTTTAGGTGTTTTCAAAGACTTGTGGATTTGTAAAGAAAAATATGGAAATAACGAACAGTATTCAATCTCAACGTCCATTAAACAAATATACAAAATAAGTGCAGAGCAAACACGGACCTCCAAAACATCAGAGGTAGTATCAGGTGCCATGGAGGAGTGAGCATCCCCTGCCGACCGGTCACACCCGCCGTGTGCTCGTTGTCATAATCAGGATATAACGGAAAAAATCCGTGGTCAATTCAGTGTATAAATGGTGGACTAACAATTGGTATGAAAAACGTCAGTCAGCATTTCATTCAATGATAATTTGTATTTGCTGACAAGGTCATTGTATCGACCATAGAATTTACGAAATGATGACTTTAAACGAGACTGTTGTTTCATCAACTTGCTTGTCAATAATTTACCTCGTTTAAGAAATTGTTCATACGTAGAGCATGCTCTTGCATATCAAATCAACTGAGATATAAAAACTCCGTATGCAGGTGATGAAGGTTTATTGCTGCATAAGTAAGGGAAGTTGACGATAGAAAAAATAAAATCATCACGTTTATTATATAGCTTGGTTGTTAGATTACCATTAGTGTCTTTTTCAAGTAAAATATCCAAGTATGAAGCAGAAGTCTCGGACTCTGTGGTATCTTTTATCTCAAGCTCAACAGGATATATCGTGTCGACGTATGAATAGAAATTATCATTATTAAATGACAATACGTCGTCGATATATCTAAATGTCGAGTTGAAGGCCACAGCAAGTGTTTTCTTCTTTTCAAGGAAAATTCAAATCTAGTGTTTTGCTGATGGATTTGTTACCAGTGATTTGTTAGTAGTTTGTTGGAGTGGTTTGATAGTAGTTTGTTAGAGTGGTTTGATAGTAGTTTGTTAAGAGTGGTTTGATAGTAGTTTGTTAAGAGTGGTTTGATAGTAGTTTGTTAGAGTATAGTTTGATAGCTCATTTGCATGTGATTTGCTATACTATTAAACTGTTTTCAAACCATAGTGGTTTGTTAGTAATTTATTATAGTAGTTTTTTGCCCTTTTTCCGTATGTGTGGTTGTCATGAGCAACGAAGCTAAAAAGGCAGGGTACGTATTTTCTAAATGATCAAAACTCGCACTGAAACAGCAGATTCAATTGTCACTGACATTCGACAAATGCTTTGCACAACGTGTATGCCGTTGTATCTCTGTTTCTTCGTGTGAATAAAATGAGATCTTTGGGCATAATATTATGGTCTCTTTATTTGATAAAAAAATTGTGCATTTTGAATCCCTATATTTTGATCATAAAACACACCTAGCCTTGTTGTTAACGCGGTATGATGATTTTTCTTGTGTGTTAATGGACAGAAATCAAATTTCAACGAAGTTATCTTCGATAGCAGAGTTCCATTAAAAAAAGTTATTGAAACTTTACGAAATCATGTTCAAAGCCCCTAATATATTCCATATTGTTTAACTCAAAAGAAACAATTCATAATTGAAGTGAAACATATCTGTGAACTTATTTTATACCTTTGTAGGACCATGTAGTGAAGATAGATCTCCCTTGGTGCTTATCTGTTTTACTGTTAATAACTTTATGGAAAGCTTTAGTCATATCCAACACCAGGACGTAGAATGCTTCAGATCTCATGTAGATCTGATGACATGCATAGTAAGCAAATTGTCCAGCAAAATCAATAATGCTGACACTTGTTTCATTTTCCCTAGCATCCAAAATTTCTTTCATCAAGTCACGTGTCAATCGCTTATCATTTGCATCATTTTCCTCTTTATCCAATGACAAATTTTGCAAAGTCAATACATTTTCGTCAAATTCATTTCCAGCCAACGTTTCGTTTTGAATATGTTGCAAACTGGCACTGTTTTCAAATTTTTCGGACGCATGTAATAAGCCAGCTTCAACATTCTGTTTGTTCTTTTTAAGTGCGGAAATTGGAACTCTTATCAGTCGTTTCTTCAGAAAGTCATCTTTAGTTGCTACAAAAAAAAATTTGAAAATATAACGTAAATTAGAAAGCAACCTTGATCAAAAATTGGAAATATGCGCCTTTTAGAAAATAAAAATATTTATAATTTTATGCTAAAGTGGCAATATTTTAGCCGCATTTTGCCTTTTTGACAATTGTCAACTTCGTGTTATGGAACACTACGAACAAACAAAAAATGGAACGTAAAAGATCCAAGGCCTCTGGCGATGTGTCCTAAAGACCAACCTTTCGTTGTACATATGAAAGGCTAGATAAATACGGTGGCTGAACCAGAAATCTTAAAAAGGTGAGCCCGACCGGTATAGGGCCGGGGTAGGGAACCACATCCACACAAAAAATTATTTATTAAATTTCATGTATATTTCAGATTACAAAACGGGGTCCTGGACCCACTCCAAATCCGCCAGTGAGATAGATGAATATTAAACATATTTTACCAATTAAACCTTCATTTTTCACCAAAAATATGTGCTCATAGACATGAAGTCCCCTGGTAGATTTTATTTCCTTAATTTCGTCAAGACTTTTCCCCATCAGTCTGTACAGAAGTGTGGTCTTCCCTGCTCCTCCACAACCAACCACGATCCCACGTGCATGACGAACTGTGGTTTTCCCCTTTTTCATGTATGCCATAAATCTTTGAATTGGGATTGTTTTAGCAACTAAAAATACAATTTATTAATGTAACAATTACAATTAAAGAATTTCAAAAAGTATAAAGTCTATGTAAAGTTTTTTCTATAAAAAGGGCACTGTAAAGGGACATTTTTATAGTTATTTGGTTTCTACTTTTATGAAAATAAAGTCAAAATACCGTTTTTATAATACTAATATTCAGTTGAAATATGTACATGTAACGCATAATTGTGTTTTTACTGTTTAAAATTACTGTGATTTAATATAACATACATAAATTCTCTTTATTTCGTTTTCCTTGTGATAAAACTACTCACCTAATTCAGCCTCATTATTAGCATCTACCACTCCTACAATGTACATTAAAAATAATGTTTAAAAAGATAGAAATAAATGCATTGAATAAAAACAATGCATTCTAAATATCAAACTTGATCAATAAACTTGATTGACTTTGAATGGGAATGTCCTAAATAACAAATACCAAAAATAAATGGATATCATCGCATGTTTTCGAGCATTTTCACCCTTAAAAATCTGTAAACAATTTTGTATTCATTTTCAAATCATTACGAAATATTTCAAATTTCCAAAATTCGATAAATAGTATTTCATTATTTTGAAAAAAAAAATAGTTTTGCTTGTATAAAACAGACAAAATTAGCCCTAAACACTGCGCCGCTGAATCGATTTAAATTATAGATTAAAAAAAATAATCAATTGAAAATCTATTAATATTCTTGATAATTATAATTTAATCATGAAAGATTTTGCATTGATAAATTATAAAACAGATGGGAGGATTAAAATGTTACATTATGTTGATGATGCAAGCAATTCAAAAGCAAACCCGAGCTCAGGTTGAACAACAGCTTTTCTTTTAATTATACAAAAAAAGTAGGTATTGTTCACAAGCTTTGACACGATGAATGTTCAAAACCAAAATCATTCTATACTTAAATGGAAACCAAAAAAATATCCTTACCCATATGATATAATGCTTCGTGGATTTCTGCTGTTATGTCGTGCTTTCCCCGAGCATCAATGCATGTGTAGGGCTTCAAAGCTGGTGGCAAATCATTAGTGTTTAAGCTATATAATATCAAAGGTAATATTCTCAATGACATTTCAAGAGCTATTTGAACCTCCGTGATACACCAAGAGCTTCTCAGGAAGTTTGGACTTAAGATAAATAGTACCGTATCACTTCTTTCCATGAAATTTCGGATATTATCAATAGTGGGTGTACCGGGAATAAAATCACGGTCAGAAAACACGCATTTCAAAAAAAATCTGCTTTCAAGTTCCTTACAAATTTTGACGGCTTGATGCCTATCATCGGAGGAGTAAGCGATAAACGTATGATATGATTTATCAGGAGGAAGACCAGAATGAGAGAGGTCCTCAGTGTCGATGTTTTCTTGGACATTGTCTGTTTCTGTCTTTGGATTACGTTCATACAAACTATGTGACTTGGAGTCTTTTTCCATTTCACTTGTTGGAAAATCATCAATTTCAGCAACGATATCTAATAAAAGCAAATAAATAAGAATTAGTTAAAAATGAAGGCACATTTTGCTTGCATTTTTTCTTTTTATAAAAAGTGTTTTGCTGATTTCTTAAATAATACTTTATATAATCATGTTATGGAATCCGGATAGGGCCACGCAGTTCACTATCGCATCATCGCACCATCAAGGTTTGAGTCGATGGTGCGATGACGCGATAATGCGATGACGATGGAGCGATGAAGCGATAACGATGAAGCGATGGTGCGATAACGCGATGACGATGACGCGATGGCGCGATACTGCGATAACGATGAAGCGATGGTGCGATGGAGCGATAAAGCGATGACGCGATGGCACGATAGCGATGATGCGATGGCGCGACAGTGGTGATGCGATGCTATATCGTGCCATCGTTATTGCTTTATCGCGCTATCGACATCGTGTCATCGCACCATCGCTCTATCGACTATATAGATAGGATGGCATATTCAGCAGGTACTTAATTCGAGCAAAGATTTGATTGCCCAGTGATAATTAACTGACTTTAATTTTGTATTTGGTAATCATATTTTAAATAACAAACACGTAGTACCAAGAGGAGAAGGAAGGAAGACTTTTGTTTTGTATTTATTTTGTATTTTAGAATTGTATACTAGTATATAGGTCCCTGATTTCACGATGCAAGAAATAAATTTAAATTTCGTATGAGCATTTACTTGTTTTAATAGTTAATGATAGCATTCACGATGGGTTTAATTTTGCAGAAAAAAATGAATCGCGAACATAGTGAAAGTAAAAACATCGTAATTATTTCCCACGTAATCATTACCCAATCTACAGTATTAATCCCCCCCGTTTAGAAACCAAAATCTAGATCACACAGATTTCGATTTCTTTTACATCATTCACAACATGAGTGTATTGTTAACTTTATCTTGATTATCAAACTATATTTTAACAATCATCTAACTTGTTATATGTCTGGCAATAAAGACATGGTTAATATTTTTATGCCAAGTGAAGTTTATTCACCCAGTAAGATCTATTTCCGATATGTATTCTGTTCATGCTTTCACAACCTGACGCCATTTTTCTTCTCAATGGCGCATGCGCAAAAGAGTCGATAGCATGATAGTGCGTTAATACGATGACGGTAGTGCGATAGAGCACTGATGATGACACGATAGAGCATCGCTTCATCGTTATCGCATTATCGTATCATGGCTATCGCACCATCGCAATCGTGCCATCGCGTCATCGCATTATCGCTCCACGCAGTTATGATAAGGCTGTCCGAAGGCTGAAAATTATGGAATCCGGATAGTATGGAATCCGGATAGGGCCACGCAGTTCACTATCGCATCATCGCACCATCGAGGTTTAGGTCGATAGTGCGATGAAGAGATAATGCGATGACGATGAGGCGATGGTGCGATAGCGATGAAGTGATGGTGCGATAGCGCGATGACGATGATGCTATGGCGCGACAATGCGATGACGATGGTGCGATAATGCGATGACGCGATGGTACGATGACGCGATGGTGCGATAGTGATGACACGATGATGCGATGACGATGGTGCGATAGTACGATGACGATGAAGCGATATTCACTATCGCTCAATCGTGCTATCGCACCATCGCCATCGCACTATCGCGCCATAGCATCATCGTCATCGCGCTATCGCATCATCGCTTCATCGTTATCGCACCACCGTTTCATCGTTATCGCGCCATCGCATTATCGCGCCATCGACCTTTAAGTTGATGCTCGATGGTGCGATAGTGAACTGCGTGGCCCTATCCGGATTCCATAGGATAGGGCCACGCAGTTCACTATCGCATCATCGCACCATCGAGGTTTCAGTCGATGGTGCGATGACGCGATAATGCGATGACGATGAAGCGAAGGTGCGATAACGATGAAGCGATGACGCGATAGCGATGATGCAATGGTGCGATAATGCGATGGCGATGATGCGATGGTACGATGAAGCGATAATGCGATGACGCGATGGCACGATAGCGATGCTGCGATGGTGCGATAGACACGTTATAGCATCGCATCATCACTATCGCGCCATCGCATCATCGCTATCGCACCATCGCTATCGTGCCATCGCGTCATCGCATTATCGCTTCATCGCGCCATCGCATCATCGTCATCGCGCTATCGCGCCATCGCATCATCGTCATCGCACTATCGCACCATCGCTTCATCGTTATCGCACCATCGCTTCATCGTCATCGCATTATCGCGTCATCGCACCATCGACTCAAATCTCGATGGTGCGATGATGCGATAGTGAACTGCGTGGCCCTATCCGGATTCCATAGAAAATGCCTTGAAAATCTACATTTTATTCTGAGCTAGATTTTAATTTTAATATGTGATCCATGTTTGAAATGGCAGTCAACTTGAGATAATAGTTTAGTCAGGTTTTATTTTACTGCATTTTTGTGATATCACATGACCGTTTGATCACGTGACGGAGATTTATGATATTCCTAATTGTTGCACAAAAATCGCTTCGGCACAAGTGCAAAACAAAAATATTGTGCAAAGATTGTTACATAGATCAATTCATCATGATCTCTAGTACATAGAAAGTGCTGGGGGCAGGTTTAAATTTTACTCGGTTAGAAAATATTTTACGAGACATTCAACTTACCAACATAAAAAGGGGTATTTTCCTCCCTTTATTATGGAATCCGGATAGGGCCACGCAGTTCACTATCGGATCATCGCACCATCGAGGTTTGAGTCGATGGTGCGATGACGCGATAATGCGATGACGATGGAGCGATGACGAGATAACGATGAAGCGATGGTGCGATAGTGCGATGACGATGATGCGATGGCACGATAGCGCGATGACGATGATGCGATGGTACGATGAAGCGATAATGCGATGACGCGATGGCACGATAGCGATGCTGCGATGGTGCGATAGCGATGATGCGATGGCGCGATAGTGATGATGCGATGTTATATCGTGCCAACGTTATTGCTTTATCGCGTTATCGACATCGTGTCATCGCACCATCGCTCTATCGACTATATACATTGTAGATAGGATTGCATATTCAGCAGGTACTTAATTCGAGCAAAGATTTGATTGCCCAGTGATAATTAACTGACTTTAATTTTGTATTTGGTAATCATAGTTTAAATAACAAACACGAAGTACCAAGAGGAGAGAGGAAGGAAGACTTTTGTTTTGTATTTTTTTTGTATTTTAGTATTGTATACTAGTATATAGGTCCCTGATTTCACGATGCAAGAAATAAATTTAAATTTCGTATAAGCATTTATTTGTTTTAATAGTAAATGATAGCATTCACTATGGAATCCGGATAGGGCCACTCAGTTCACTATCGCATCATCGCACCATCGAGATTTGAGTCGATGGTACGATGACGCGATAATGCGATGACGATGAAGCGATGGTGCGATAACGATGAAGCAATGACGCGATAGCGCGATGACGATGATGCGATGGTGCGATGATGCGATGGCGATGATGCGATGGTACGATGAAGCGATAATGCGATGACGCGATGGCACGATAGCGATGCTGCGATGGTGCGATAGACACGATATAGCATCGCATCATCACTATCGCGCCATCGCATCATCGCTATCGCACCATCGCAGCATCGCTATCGTGCCATCGCGTCATCGCATTATCGCTTCATCGTACCATCGCATCATCGCCATCGCATTATCGCACCATCGCATCATCGTCATCGCGCTATCGCGTCATCGCTTCATCGTTATCGCACCATCGCTTCATCGTCATCGCATTATCGCGTCATCGTACCATCGACTCAAATCTCGATGGTGCGATGATGCGATAGTGAACTGCGTGGCCCTATCCGGATTCCATAATTCACGATGGGTTTAATTTTGCGGAAAAAAATGAATCGCGAACATAGTGAAAGTAAAAACATCGTAATTATTTCCCGTATAATAATTACCCAATCTACAGTATTAACCCCCCCCCCCCCCCGTTTAGAAACCAAAATCTAGATCACGCGGATTTTGATTTCTTTTACATCATTATACAACATGAGTGTATTGTTAACTTTATCTTGATTATCAAACTATATTTTAACCATCTTCTAACTTGTTATATGTCTGGTTAACATTTTTATGCCAAGTGAAGTTAATTCACCCAGTAAGATCTATTTCCGATATGTATTCTGTTCATACTTTCACAACCTGACGCCATTTTTCTTCTCAATGGCGCATGCGCAAAAGAGTCGATAGCACGATAGTGCGACAATACGATGACGATAGTGCGATAGAGCACTGATGATGACACGATAGAGCATCGCTTCATCGTTATCGCGCTATCGTATCATCACTATTGCACCATCGCAGCATCGCTATCGTGCCATCGCGTCATCGTCATCGCAGTATCGCACCATCGCGTCATCGTCATCGCGCTATCGCACCATCGCTTCATCGTTATCGCGTCATCGCTCCATCGTCATCGCATTATCGCGTCATCGCACCATCGACTCAAACCTCGATGGTGCGATGATGCGATAGTGAACTGCGTGGCCCTATCCGGATTCCATACTTTATCGCAATTTCTACAAAAATGGATAAACTACACACAATCCCCCAGGAAAATTCAGTTAGAGAACATACTTTTCTTGTAGATTCACACAGAATATCTTCAATTTGTCCTTGTTTATCACTTGTGCCAGTCCAATATAAACACGCTTCATAAATTTTAACTCTGTCTACGGACGTGTAAGGGGAGCGTATCACACATTATTTTTGCTATTGTTTGAATATGTGCATATCGGACAAGCAAAAGGAATGGGGATATTTAAGTTTCAAATATTCTAATCATAAAAGTAAACTCGAGCTTAATAAACAATCCTTACATTTGAATTAAACAATAAATCTCCAAAATAAATCTACATGCCATGTATTAATTATGAAACTTTCCCCGTCATGTCAGCTCAAGTATGCAGCAACTTGACGTCATATTCTAT